GGGGGGGGGGGGTTTCCTTCTTTAAAAAAAGTTAACCCCCTTGTTCAGTGAAGCTTGACACACGTCGGGGAAATTTGTTTTGTGCAAACACAGTCCGATCACTGAGGTGGTTTGGGCAACAGGCTAATTGTAGAGGCCCATATGTCCCGAGTTTTCTGTTTTGGTGACAAGCAAATTGGGTACAAGATAAATGAAATCACATTCCTGAGTAGGTCCAAGCATATTTTGTTTTTATTTAGCTTTCTCTTTATTTTTTAAATTGATCGTTAGAACATCCACCAGAATGACCCACATCACTGCTTATTTTTAAATTTGTAAAGTTGTCTATCTCTCGCACTCTCTCCTTATCTCTTTGACACCTACACGTACACTTATGTTTACTCACTCGTTCTCACACTCGGACACACAAATGCGCACGCACGCACATACACACGCACACACACACGCACGCACACACACTCACACACACACACACACACACACACGCGCGCGCGCGCGCGCGCTTTCTACTTTCTCTTCTTTAGTTTTTGTCTCCTCTCCCTTTCTGGTCCCGTTTCTTCTCTCTTCCATCTGTTTCTCATCTGTTCCACAGAGAAAAAAAAATAAGAGCATCTCCTCCACCCCCACCCCCAAACACTCGCATTTTTTAAATCTGACTCTATTATATTTTTTATATCCAAGTTGGAAGTAGATTTACTCAATAATGCCATATTATTATGATGATGATGATTATGATGATGATGATTATGATTATTATTATTATTATTATTATTATTATTATTATTATTTATTATTATTATTACGTATATCCAGTTGTTGTTTGGATGTTGTCTCTACCATTTCCCTTTTCTTTCTCTCCCCCCCGTTTGAACCCAGCTCTCTACCCTTCCCTCCCAGGGCTTCAAGGCGGCCATGACCTCTACGACCCCATGAAGGCCGGCTACTCGCACCTTGACACCAGTCAGCGTTACGACATGTTGGGAATGCAGAGCATGCACCGTCCGGACATGTACGGCAGCCCGCCCTCCTCCTACGCCCAGATGGCCCAGTTCTCGCCACCCGTTCACTCCCAGGCCATGCTCATCCCAGGACACCCGCACCACATGATGATGGGCCACGGAAACCCGGCGATGGCCCACCACGGCATGGCCAGCGCTCAGAGCCCTCCCCTACACATGGAGGGCATGGGTGGCCACATACAGGACATTCACGCCGGCTAGTCCAACAGGGGGCACTCCTGTACCGTCCCCCCACCCACCCACCCACCCACCCCCCGACACCCACCAACGCCACCACGATGACTCCCCGCGCTCTCTTCCTAGTTGTTTGTCAAGTCACGTGGGGGTGTAAACGGTGAGACGTTCACGTGAAAAAAAAAAGTAAATGATGTTGTCAAATTGATTATAGCAGTTGGTCGAAAGAGGTTAGCCGACTTAGGAAAAGAAATGGTCACTACAAAATGTGGGTTGTGTACAAGATGTTTGACTCTGGCACTTAGGACTCGCAGCGACAACCATGCCTCGACTGTGGATCCCTTCCTGTTGTGAACTAACCTCAATATCGGCGCCGTACTTTGTTCTGGTCAGTGTCGCTCACGCCAGGCCAATATCTTGTGCACGTGCATGGAGCCATGCGTTATCTCTTGGTGGTGCACACACACGATAAGGAGGGGGGGTGGGGGATTCACTCAGTGACCACATCTTCTGACACCTTCCCAGAGTTCCAGAACGAGGATCAGCACACATGGCGATGTACGCTGGCTCCGAAGTCTAAGTCCACAACTGTAACTATGAACGTGGTTCTGACATCTTCTTGGCGGACGCCAGACACTGACCTTCTAATGGGTCCTAAGTGGTCTCTTGTGTGTTTCTGATCAAACATCACAGTTACTGTTACGTCACTACCGTGCCAAAGTCGCGTTACAATGACGTCACAGCACGCCCAGAGGTTCTCCGGGCAGGTCAGACTGACTGTCACTCCCACTGTCGTGTCTTAAGACAAAGAGCGGACACAGAACTCAGTCGGCTCAGAGAGCAAGTCACTTCTGAAACATGACTGAATGAAAGCGATATTTCCCTGCAGGTTCGAAGCTCTATTTTGTTCCAATCTATTTGGATTTCTAAAAGATGTGTTTGCTTCATCACACATTGAGACAGTGGGCATGGTGTTGTTTCAGATCAAGATCACGAGACTGGAATCTTGGAATACAAACTTCTTCCCAACTTCTCAAGAAGCGCAGGTCTTCAGAGAACAAGCGGGACGTCACTGCTACGAGCAAATCCTTGACACAGACTGCACAGGAGCTCTATGCTATGAGGACTCAAGAGGTTCTCAAACTGGACAAATACTTACGCACTGCTCGTTTCTAGCGAAAAGAATGGCATCTGCCCTCACAAGTTTATGTTGGAGTGATCCGAGAGAAGCCCTTCCGGGTTTCCAGTGGTTCTGTAACATGTTGGTTTAAGACATTCTGCGAAAAAAAAAGACAGCTCAACATGATGTGTGTGGGTCTTGCGTTTAGGAACGGGGTTGCTGTCTTTTGCTGTGGAGATTTTTTATCATTGTATTATTTTGTTTTGTATAGGATTGTGTTCACTTTTTGTGTAGGCTTTTTTTTTAATCAGCACTGTTGAAGTGCACTGAATGTGGGAGTTTTAGTATGCTTGTTATTTGATTTTCACAAGATAACCAAAGATTCCATGTCCAGACTCAGAAAACTATGCTCATTGTTATTTTTCCAAACTTATATGAGAGTTAAAGGAATTTCTGTTCTGCAGTCGAAAATGTGTACTTATTGGGGGTTTAGGGATCCTCTTGCATTACATTAGTGTGTCTTTTTTTAATTCTCCAAGTGTCAATATTGTCCAGAAAAATCAGCATTGTATTGCAGCCAATACTCCTGTTCCCAATGTCCAACGTATCAGACTATATGAAACGAGTTCACTGGCACCTGTAGTCAGCTGCTGATATGATTGGTCAGTTAATTGGGTGCGTCCATATTACGCATACGTTCGACTTTACTGAAGCCCATGGCTGTCCGCAGATGACGTCACCAGTTTTATGGTCTTGAAGAATACTGTTGGTTTTTTTCACCATTGAAGTAAGCGGATGAATCTGTCTATCTCAAGTTCTTGTGCGCACGACATGATGGGCAAAAAAGTAACCCCCCCCCCCCTTCCGTAACTTTTATGTTGCTGCCCCATAAGTATCGAAGCTGCACTGCTCAATGCTCGAGAATATGGTGACTTTGACCTTCACATGGATTGACGACCTTTACTTTCACAAGGACTGGTGACCTCGACCTTGCCGAACAATGCTCATCCTGCTACTACTGTCCCCCACCCCAACCTTCGTCACGTTGTATGATAAGAGATTTGTCGTTATTTTCTGTAGCTTTAACCATGTCGTTGATGCACACAAGACTCTCTATTCCTTGCCCCCACCCCTATCCCGGGCGTTGAGTACCCGCTTGGGGTATGTTGGGAGCTGGCCGGTCTTAACCAGCGCTATCCAGGACTCCTGGAAAGCGTCATTGAGAGGTGAAATACACTATGAAGTCGACGACACGATGATGAAATTAAAGAAATGATACTAGTCATACCTTTGAGCCGTTCTGTAATTATCATTATACTTACCATGTAGTTTTATTTTTAAGGTCCTGTGTCGTGCGTTATCGCTGGTCTACTTTCCTTTGTTTCAATGTGTTACGGCTGACATGATTTTTGCCTGTGTTGGTGTTGAGGTGTTTCAATTGCTGTTGTTGTTACTTAATCGTTATCATTAAACACACACACACACACACACACACACACACACACACATACAGTCCCTTATGTCATCAGTTTTCTCTATCTCCGTCCAAGTAAGAACAGACCGGTGCCAGCTAGTATAGTAATTACGAAATCCACCACGTTAATCAGTGTTCAGGTCGGAGAATATCTTTGCCCAGTCTCCCATGCGATCTTCGCAGCCCCGCTCCCCCCCCCCCTCTTTTCCCTCTTTTCCCCGTAACACTGCCAGAGATTACGCCTGTCAATTACTTTTACTGTGAGCCTCAAAACAACTTTCATTTTAGCAATGTTGATTTGTGATATTAGATTGTTTATTGCATCTGCTGCAAATTTTATCAGTGTTGTTGCGTTTTGAGCGAGACCGAACTTTCCTTGCTGCTTGTGATACGAAAAAATGAGCCTGAGGGTGACTAAGAGAGAGAGAGGGGGGGAGGAGGGGGGAGACAAAGGAATCGCCATTTTTCTGAAATATCTTACAAAGAGACACGCCAACTGAATCTCGAATCTCGGTGGCTTTATGAAAGAAGTAGAGCATTTCAGTTTGAAGGTACTGACGTCCGATAGGGAGAGGAACGGAAGGAAGCGGAAGGGGAGACTGGGAAGGAAAGAGAAGCTTTAATGAGTGAAGAAAAATTCGCTGTGGCTAGCACATAGCAGACTGAAGACCATGGAGAGGGGGGGGGGAGACAACAAAAATGTTTGTAGGGCAAGACTTGTCGCGGGAATGAAAAGGGGGGAAAGGGGGCTGGTCAGGGAAATGTGGGAGGCAAGACGGCGGGTGTAGAGGCCGGAGAGCCGTCTGAAGATTACGGTATTAGATGCGCTTGCGTGACAGAGCCCCCCGGATGTCCGGAAATGAAAAGGAAAGTGTCGCGTCCAATCAAAGTTGTGGGTCTTGACATATTGGATGCGCTGAAGCAAGTCCTGGTGGAGGGGAAGTTGTGGGGCTTAGTGAGGAGCGTCTGGAGAGGAGGAGGGAGCTGTGGAGAGGAGGAGGATTCAAGAGGAGGAAAGGAAGGAAAATTGGAAAGAAATTGATATGCGAAGGAAATGTGGATCAAATAAATTGTAAAATGAGAAAGAGACAAAGAATTTGAATATCCTAGAGACAAGCCGAATTTGTATTTTTATATTAGGCATCGCAGTGTGCGCCATAATTTACAAGCTTGGTCACATTGTCCCTTTTTTTAGTTACAGACTTATAGACAACAGTGATAACTACGTAAACAAAGGGAACAGAGAGACAGACAGACAGACAGACAGACAGACAGACAGACAGACAGACAGACAGACAGACAGACAGACAGACAGACAGACAGACA